GAAATTGATTAAACTGCTTAAGAAACACGCACTATATGTTTACAAATCACCCAATTAGACAACAAAAGAGTGAAATAAAGCGTAGTGTCTGATTTAAAGAGAACGTCAACACCACTACAAAACCAATATTATTCATGAGAAGTTTAATTAAAAAATTAATCCCGTGTATTAACCGTCTGGGGGCGAGCGACACCGAGGTGAGTGCGACTGTAGCATCAACCTCAGCATCGACAATCAGCGGCATCACAGAGCCCTGGGCGTTGCCGTGTTAGCTTAGCATGTTAATAGCATGGGGCTGTGTCCGGGGTGGAGTAGCGGGGTTAAAACAGAGAACGCCACACTTGGGGTTGGTTTTACCGTCGCAGAGTTTGCAGCGCTTGGCGCGAGGTTCTCCGAGTGACCCCGTGCTCACGGGCATGGTCTAGCTGCTGCCGGGGTCGGCTGGGCTCACACGCCACCACCCTGCTGCGAGTCGACCGCCCCCTTGTGCTGACAACGAGGGGACATCTCTTTGCCGGAGGAGTCGTCGTGTGCGTTCGGTTTCTGTGATGTTTCTTCGGCGACGCAACGGACGAAAGGCGATGAGACGCACATTCAACGACTTACTGAAACGTAGACGAGCGAAAAGCTCGACGCTGAGTCGTAGCTTGCCGAGCGTCGCGGCGCCAACGAGGTGGGGGAACGTCACGGATTTTCGGATTGCCGCCGTCATGCCCAATGTACTTTCGAGGTTACACAAAGGGCCAAGTTTACAAATTTACAGACCGAAACGATTTATTTTCGGAAAAAAAAGTAGGTAACTCTGACGGACGGTACTTTCGTCTGCTACAGGTGGTGTTTCCATAGTGTGACGTCAATGGGTTATGCAAAAATGAAAGAAAGGAGACATTGGGTTAGGTTAGGTCTTGGTAAAAAATAAAACTTGATTTTATATCAAACTGTGCCAAAAGAACCATGCGATAACTATAGATCTGTCACTTTGGTTGGCAAATTATGATATCGTTTTTGCGAGACTGCCTTGAAATTTTGAGTTTTCGCACACCCACGAAACCACCATGGTGATGGTCAAGTGCATGGCAAAACAGCAATACTGAACCAATAAACAAGTGTGTTTAATATAATTAATAAAAAAATGACAACAAATCAAAATAATTTATTGAACTTATATAAAAATACGTATGCTGGGATTATTGTTCAGAAAATCGACGCCAAAAATAAATTTCAACTAAAACTTTCAAATGTCAATTTCAAAAGTCAATCATAATGACAATAAAACGTGGCATACGTTGACATTTTTAGAACTGACAAAAATTTGATGTCCAAAATTCCGTGTCCGCAATTGTGGGTAGGTATATTAGACAAAATATTTTGAAGACAAAATGCTTAAGCCAAAGTTAGTATGTATTTTTTGCACAGTAAACCAAATATCTGTATATAAAAGAAGACCCTCGACGAGTCCATTTAAAAAATGAGCCAAACATTGCATTTTTTATTATAGATTCGGAATCTTACGGCTGTCGTGATTTAAGAAAAGGAATTTATTTCACTTTATACAACAAACATAGCAAAAGTGTGTGTAGAGCAAATAATTTTTCAATTCTAAAAATCACATACAGAATTGGTGATTCTGAAATGTTTTCTAGCAATAAACGAATTCATAGTTATATGAAACTGCTAAAATAATGAATGTGATATACATAGAACCGCGAATGTGTAATTAAACTTAGCCATGTGTTAAAATTAAATAATACATTTTGTAAATAAAAATAATTTTAACCAGTCATCAGTAGTTGGTATTTTGTAATGTTTATTTTTCGTTTGATGTGGTTAGTGCGTTTTATTCACAAAATATGTTAATGATTTCGTGATTCACCCATTAATTAATAACATTTTATATGCGCTAATGACAATTTCTAAGCAATCTACTCAAATAATTCACAAAATGTATTTGTTCCATAAATGTTCTTTATTCTTCGACACTGTCAAAATTTACGGTTTTTCTTCCGTGTAAGGAAGTTTTGGACTGTTTGGCATTTCTAAATACGAAACGTCAAATTTAAAGCAAGTTTAAGCCTTGTTGAGTCTAATTCGAAGAATAAAATTTTGTATTCAACGCGTTTGAGTGTAAATCGAACGCTTTATTCCAACTCGTGGTTTAAAAATCCACTCGGTCAAATAAAGCGTCCGATTTACACTCAAACTCGTCGAATAAATAATTATTATAGTTACAAAAAAAGTAAAAGTTCAAATGTACAATAGAAGACAAATTAATTAACAATCTCAAAATTAGTTAGATTTTCCTTGAATCTAACATTGCCTAATTTTTTCTAACCACAATTTCAAATGAACTCAAAATTGAACCGCGAAAAATGACGAACAATAGGCAATTTAGATTATAATAACTATTAAAACATCAAGACTTTTATAGATAGTTTAAAAGTCGGGGTCGTACATAGTTTAACTTCGGGCGAGAATTTAATAGACGAAGATTTTTAAACTATAAAAAAAAATTCCAACACTTAACAATGGACCAGAAATTTTACTAAATTCAGAAATTGTTGCAAAGAAATTCGCCAAAGTAATGTAAAAATTGAAAAAATGCCAAGATAAGTATATTGTATGTACAATGGCGAGCATTAAATTTTGGTAGCTAATGTCATTTTAAAACTTCATTTCATTTTCAAAAAAAAAGTAGTTTGTGAAAGTTTGTCTGCTGTCAACCTTCTTTCAAAAATGAATTAAAAAAATGTCAAAACACCCACGTCAAAAACGAATTAACAAATATTTTATTGTGTCGCTAGTCTCTGTAACTTCAACAAAGTACAAATAATTACCATGCTGGAGAAAGGATTTTTTGAAGTTGAGGTAGCTGATCAGTTTGGCTTCGTAAAAAGTTCCGTCAATTTCAAGACAGCTATTTGATATCCACTTGTTCGTTTCACAAGAGAGCATGTTAGGCAATGACAATAACTACCATAATTTAATGCTCGCCATTGTACAATACGTATACTTATCTTGGCATTTTTTCAATTTTGACATTACTTTCACGAATTTCTTTGTAACAATTTCTGAATTTAGTAGAATTAATAGTAGTTATAAAACACGATGTGATTGACGACATATTTATAGAAGAGCGTATATTAACGGCAACATAAGAAAGCTTAAATGCACGATAGAAACAGTATAAGATATTGATATTAGTGTTGGAAAAAAACTATTTATTTTTACCTAAACAATACCACTTATATACCACTATTTTATTGACTTAAAAATTGATTTTTTTTCTCGGTTTGTCAGTTGAATTTTGTATGTTGTTTTCCATGTCTGTGGTTTATGCAATTTATTCATTTTTGATTGGCTTATTAACATAAGCTGTTTTATTGTTACAAGCTACTTGGCATATTGCAAACTATAATGATAAAACTTTATAGGTACCATTTTCTAAGTTTTACTATTATATCTCTTGAGATGCTTAAGTAAATAAGAAAATGAATGTCTCGTTTAAATCAATTAAAGATGATTTCTTAAGAGGAGAACTTGGACATGGTCCAGAATGACAATGCTGACAGTAAAATATAGCACTAAATGAAATATTTTTTCGTAGAAAAATTTCAACAAATAAACAAATAACACAAACATGGATGGCATATTATTTGAATTAGATTAGATTTAGAAATCCGAAAAAATCCACTATGTAAAAAAATATTTACATTGTATTAGATACCTACACAAAGATTCGTCGAAAACCCTATAAGGGTGTGAGCTTTACTCTGTCTAACCTCTTCATTCCTTGTATTTTAGACGTTTCCGTCGCGACGCTCTAAACATGATTCATAATTATTCAAGACTGTTAAACAACAGCCCCAACCGTGAGTAACAAAGATGTTTAAATAAAATGGAATAAACGAACACTCACCAAAAGTGAATTTTGGCGTGCAAACGTGCCACGTTAATCCACAGTTTATTATTTTAGGTGAAGGATTAACATCTGCGGTATCTCGAATATGATACATTGTAAATGTATGGTCATTGGCAACACAACTTAACAAGAAGAAGAGGAAACGGACAATGATTTAACCTAGTATATTTTAACGTGATGTTTTGCGCTAGACCATAACATTAATTAAAAACTAACCGGTTAAATAATAATAAGTGTACATGTTCTCAAACGAAAAGAGATTGCAATGGAATATAAAGTAGGAGGTTCTAACGCAAAATGCCAAAAATGAATTATAATTTCTATAATAAAGCAAGTTAATTGTCTTTGTTTACAAACTTGTTTCTCTGGTTTCTCATGTTATTAGAGTACTTCTGCTTGTAAACCCACGTGTTTTAAATTATACAAAATAAAAGATCCTCGACAAACATAAATAATTTATTAGTTATTAAGCAAACCATTAAAAACGTTATTGGTTACGTGGGTCTAAAAATGTACATTACGTACGCACTGATAATAACAACAAAAATAATTAAATTCCTCCAAATAAATTCATTGACTCTCCCATAAATTACGGACGATTTTCTAAAGGATTGGGCAACCTTTTTTCAAAACTAGCACACAAATTGTGACAACAATCAGCTGTCAACTGCTAGAAACAAATTACGCCGGTTCTGAAGCAAAACACGATGAATGAAAATTTTGATTTTGTCGGGTTTCAGACACCCAAAAATACCACAAAATAACTTTAATCCTCGCCGAAAATACTAACAAAAATATCATGTGGTGGTGTATAATTTGGAGTGGGCGGGTGGTCTAATGCTAAACGTAAAATAATTACAAACCAATAACAGCAAACTTACCTTTGGCTGAAGAACAACATTTTATTAAAAATAAACAAATTGAGGTCCGTTTGCAAAAAAACACTTGTGATTAATTCGAATTTTATTTTATTTTCCGCTGGAAATTGTGAATAACAATTCATATGTCACTCGAACTAAATCACTAGTCGCCATTTTGACACACAAGCCGACCAACCTAGAAACACGAAAACGCACCAGAGCAGGATTAAATCATTTATTGACGAAAAATATAAATCTCAACTACAATTAAAACAATATATTATAAATAAGACGGTCTGCTACAGATTGATAATTTGTTAAGCTAACAAATAATTTAAATAAAATATAAATAAATACAACAAAACTAAACAGTTTTCATTGTTCTACATTTATCTACAGTTGTACTGGATAATAGTAAGCCTTCACTTCTTCTATTGCTTTACACCACTCCAAGGCATACCCCTCGGGGTCTTCTAGATAATAGATACGATTAGGCTAAAACAAAACACGTAATTTATAGCAACAGAAATTTTGAAACTCTTACAGTGTGTACAAAAAACTTTTTAAAATTTTTAGCTTCGGGTTTCAAATCATTACTCCAAGGAATTTCCCCTTTAAGAATCATAGTCACAGGATCTACGTAGTATAAATGAGGCCCCAATGTGAGCAATAACATTCGACGTCTTGGAAAAATTCCTTTCTTTTTTTCAACAATCCCTTGTTTTAGAATTAAATTCCCTTCTACTAATTCATGATAAATAGGGTTATTACTTTTCTGTTGTTCCAGTCTTTGCTCAATTTCTTCCTGACTTAAGTCAGTTATTTTCCTATTAGGTTCTGATTTTTTCCTAGGAGGCGTTTGAGGTTGAAACATCCTAAAATGTAAGCTAGATGCTTTCTTCTCATCAAGCCCTGGTTCTAAATCATCAGGGATGATAAACATATCACTAGTATTTTCAGACTTTGCTAAAAAGTTTGGAGGAGGTCCCAAATCGTCCCAATTAATTTCTCTAAAGAACTCATGTTCTCGTATACTTTTATAAGGTACTTGATCCGTCGCCCCCAGTCTATTACTGGGAGTTATAACAAGAAATTTCTCTATTAAGTCTTTTGCGACTTTATCAAAACCTTGAGGAAACTCATATTCCAGTTTTAAAATTTTCTGGAAAATTAAATATTCACTAGGACCACTAAACGGCATTTGGCCAGTAAGCATCTGATAGATAATACACCCCAAAGCCCATAAATCCGAAGCGCAAGTTGCCTCATCATCATTTAGAATCTCAGGACTAACATACTGTGCTGTTCCAACAAAACTATATTTACGCCTCTTTTGATTTTCTTCGTCTGAGGATTTATCTTGGCCCAGAATTTTCGCGCTACCAAAATCGATGATAAAAATATGCCAGTTTTCATCAAACAAAACGTTCTCAGGCTTTAAATCCCTGTGCACAATTCCTTTAAGATTGAGGTATTCCAAGGCAAGAACAAGTTCAGCTGCATAATACTTGGTGCATTCAAGACTAAAACCGCCGTCTTTGTTGATCTGCTGCAACAACTCTCCGTTTTTTGCATAGGTCAACACAAAATACAGCCGGTCGGTGTCTTGAAACGTGTAGTACAAGTGAACAAAATATTTACAGGAACTTCCTAAAATTTGCAAGATTTTCTTTTCCCTGGTCACGTATTCGGTCTTCTTCTCCCTGATAATGTGACGCTTTTCCAGGACTTTAACTGAAACAATAATGAAGTACAACTCAACTCTATAAAAGTGCAACTTACTTGCAAACTCTCGGCTCGTGTGCACGTCTTTGGCAAGATAAACTGTGCTGAAGCTGCCTTCTCCTATGACTTTCCCGAAAACAAAATCTGCAGAGGTCCGTTTCCGCACCAGTTCCTCGTTAGGGAGCGACATCATCCTGCAAGAGGGTCACATAGCAGTCGAGGTCACTCGCGACATGTTCTTGAGGTGGTCATATAAAAAGTGTGTTAATTTTATTTATTATTACCTACCGACAATAAAACAGCTATAAAGTACTGTCAAGATGAACGTCACCCAATACGTCACAACTGTGATTTCAGTACCAAGTTTCAATGGACAATAATAATACGGTAATGACGTACATTTCGCTAGAAAGTTTAATGAACTCGTTATCGCGAAAGTTTGAAAAAATCGAACTACACTTTTCTACGAATGAACGCAAGAGGAATTAACGAAGTTCGTTACGTTTTTTTTTATTTGGCCGAATAAACACAGATTTTTGACAGACAACTTAAACAACAAACGAAACAGGCATCATCGTAACCGACCGAGGATAAGCCATTGATTTTAGGCGGGAGTGGGGAGAATTTCAAATGGTGGTGGGGATGCTTGTCTGTCTGGTCCATGGTAGATGGGCGCTTTAGACGCTTTTGTAGTCACCGACGCCGAGCGTCGCAGGTCTCAAATGTTGACTATTAAATAGTGTCTTTAATTTTTTATCAGTTAAATACTCATAGCTTTAATACACGGACTAAATGGAGGCCTTCAAAAATTTCATATTTAATAAAATTATTAAACATTGCTGACCATTCTCATTCAAAAATATCTGCATGAGTGGTATGTATTTACAATGTTTTTATTGCTGTTGTTATTGTTGTTATTAAAATAATCTATGGCGGAGAAAACTATATTTTTACTGTGAATCATAAACATCGTAATGGGGACAAATGTAATGTTGACTAGAACTTTTTTTTTATTGACCACTTGCTGCACATCGCATGCTTTAGAATTACTAACCACAGACACAATAACATGTTTACTTCAATTTAACCTCATTAGAAAATGTATTTAAAAAATTCTTTAGTTTCTGTAGATAATCATTTTCTAATGGATTTGTAAATTGCGCCAACGTACAGTCCGTTCCCATTAATTTCAATTCCAGAAACATCGACATGATGACCTTAAACTTATTACAGCAGTTCAGTTAGGTGCCAACATCATAACGTCCCTAATTTTATTAAATCATAATTTTGAAATTATTACTATAATGATGGATAACACATTTCATGCTACCATTTACTTATTCAATTTGTCTGTAGATTAGATTTCTAAAGTTTCTTCTACTGGGTGAAGCCACCTGCTGAAACGTGCTAACATAATTCTCTACTTAGAGTTGCTTCCGCTGTGATTCGTGGTCACCTGCTGAAGTGTTAGTTCTAATCTCTTAATGAATTTTGCGTCTTTCCGGTTTTTGTGTTGTAAATTGGAAACGACTAGACGTAAAATTAGATTAAGCAATAAATTTTCCCCAAAAGCAACTTTTAATTCCGACGTTTCGCAATATTTAACAAAATAAAAATATGCTGACCTGTGGGATTTTAAAACCGTGGTGTACAGTTAATTCCGCAACTACACGGAAGCATCCGCCCTAAAATTTTGATTCAATCAATAAAAAGACAGTAGATTCTATTTAAAATCGCACAACTACTTATGAAACTTTTTTCTCCGATGTTTGATGATAAAATATATGATTTGCGCATAACTTTTACTGAAAACATGGAAAGTTTTAAACAATGGTACACTGGTAACCAAATGTAGCAGTTCAAGCTTTGGTTGTAAACACAACAAAAAAGTACAGATACTATAAAAAAAATAAACATTTGGTAAATCAAAATTTCTTTTGGATCATTCTCGTATCATTATTAATAGAGTAAGAGAAGGTCGCCAGACCTTCGTCATTTTATATTTGTCAGCGCATACTTCCAACACAGGTAGGAACAATGGGCAAGTAGCACAGGTAGCAAAAAAGAAAAAAATACTAACTTAAATTTATCAAATAAAGAAGCGTAATTTTTTCATATTTTCTTCAGAATAATATAAAACCAAAACCACGATGACTCAAACTTCATACTTCCCCATACCTGTGTTGAAAGTATACGCTGCCAAATTTGTAACTTTTATAAAATGACGAAGATCTGGCGGCCGCGGGCTCTTAGACTATAAGTATTAATTCGATTGTTATATTTTTAAATATTGGAAAAGGTGGTATGTTGTTTAAAAAACTAAATTCCAGTTTCATAATCGAATTTAAAGGAGCTTTAAATTAAATGTTGTTTACAACTACTACGAACTTTTTGACATAAATTACACAGTCTAAACCAACATTAATTTTAAAGTTGAAATAAAGGGACTGTGTATAAATTAAGACTCCCCCTGTTTTAAAGCATTTTTATACTTTTTTTATTTCAATAAATAGTGCAAAAATTTGAAAATTTAAATATTTGAAAACTTTATAGGAGTATTATTATTTATTATTTTTTTTTTTTGATTTTTGTTATGTCTGAAATAATTTTTGATTAAAATGAAATAAATGAAATACTAGTTTTTTTAATCCATAAAAGAAAAAAAACTCGGATCATCCATAAAATCGAAACGTAAAACCGAGATGAATTTTTAATAAAAATTAACATTATGTTTATACATTAACATTATGTAAAATAAGAACAATCCAGGTAGAAAACTACAATAGTCTGAGAAAACTCAGAGAATTTAAAGAAATTATATTCTATACGAGAGAAAATTCTAATACTAATACACTATTCCCAATCTTTTTTCACATGTAGGTACAGTTGCGGAATTAAAATTTCAGGCAGTATTTTTCTGTAACTTTAAAAAGTTTACTGTAAATTACCTTTTACTGTCATCATGACTGACATTTGAATATTAAACTTATTTTTTTTGTTGTTAAAATTGTTAATTAAACAAATTGTCTGTCTTAGGAAGTTTGTTAATTGAACTAAGTGTAATTAAATCATTGCTTTGATCTGCTGGCTACCCTTTGTTATGCCACAAATCACTATTTTTGAAAGTAAATAAGTCAAAATGACATAAACATGTCAAGAGTGACAAATGAGGTTATTAATGTAGAGGTTGTTTTAGAGTTTACATTATTATTATGTCTGCAAAATAGTTATGAGACATTAAAACTCCTCATTTCATTAATTTTTTTTTTAAGATAAAATCGACACTGGAAGACGAATGACGTATTTCAGTACAAATGTTTATAGTGTTTGATTATGTTTTCGCGCATTATGTTTCACAAGTTACAATTTGTACAGATTTTTTTGTAAAAATTTTGGACGTTTTTTTCGAGAGCATTTTTAAGTCCTAAATGGTCTCATACAACTTCTCATTGTTTGTATAGACTTTGGTATATCATCAGTAAGTGTTCTTGCTTTACGTTTAAAAAATATTTTAGTTTTTTCCTTCAAGAGGGAGTTTTTAGCATTTCTGAGGTTGAGAATCGTTATTCACGACCGTCATTCGTTTGTGAATTGTTTAAAAATTAGCATTTTTTGGTAAAAAAGACACCTTGGTGCTTTACTCTGTTATTTTTCTAATTTTTCCAAAAAGTATTGATTGTTAAATTGTAATAAATCGACCAACTGACGCGAAACTTTGTCTCTAAACTCACAAATGTTTCAGGTATACATATAATATCAAAAAATTGTTTGTTGTTGTCTTTTGTTTCATAGCTCTTTGAATACTCCTATCATTATATTTAACTCATGGGAATTATACAGGATGCGCCAGAACTCGCGCCCCAGAGAAAATTTTCAAGTAAGGTAAGATACCAGGAACATGAAAAAAATATTTAAAAAATTCTCTGTCAAAAAATTTTGACATTTATTTTTTGACATTCGACATTTTTTATATCTATTTAAGGATACTGATGATCTTGTATATGCTTTTTTACAATTATTTAGTAAAGAAACAAAAATTTGGCCAATAAAAGCCACAAATAACATTAAACAGAGTTACAATTTAGGATACAGCTTCCTTGTTTCCTCTTTCAATAACCTACATCAAAAAAACTTGGAAAATTATTCTTCCAAGAGAAATAAATAAAGTCTAAGTTCAAAATTTAAACTCTCATAACTTCGAAATTTTTATAGATAAAATTTTTTTTTAACATTTTTTCCATGTTCCTGGTATCTTACCTTACATGGCACTTTTCTGTGGGACGCGAGTTCTGGCGCACCCTGTATATGTGACGTTATTTGAATTTGTTGCAAAAACATTAGTTTGTTAATGCACGTACCAGTAAAATTCGAAATTTATTCACTGCCAGTATCTATCAACAAGTTACCCGGAAAGCCAATCCGAAAGTTTTGTATACGTTATAAATCAAATAAAACGCTAACAGGCGCACAAAACTACTGATGCATTATAATCTACGCTCCTAATATCTTTTGTTATACAAAAACACACAAACTAGAAATCTATTGTTGCCGTTAAAATTATTTAAGCAGTGTTTGTACAAGTACATAATAATAGAACACTATTTTTTAAAAAGTGAATAATTCACATTAGCAGGATTTGCTGAATTCTAACTTCGTCAATAGCTTTAGTTATAGTTGTAATTGCAAGATATGATTTTTTTTGTCAGAATCAAATTCAATCAACTGTAATCCGCCTTATTAATTTTTATTCTTGGTAATGCCGGAACCAACCTCATCTTTATTAAACGAACAAATGAAAATTGGATCCATTTGCTTAATTTGGATTACAATAATTTGTCCTCCCTCCCGAATTCGGAAACAAAATTAAAACTCCAAATAATTAATTGTACAAAATGTGCCTAAATCTTGCGTAAAACTTTACTAAAAATTACAATTTTGTTTGTATAAGGTGCATTTTATAACTTGAGCTAAAATAAAAAGCTTTTTTGTAATGTGTCTGCCTAAAACACGAAAAATAAAAAGGGGATTGAAAATGTATAAATCAAGAAGAACCAAAAGTAATTTATTATTTATCAATTTATGGATTTATCGTATAAAACATTAATAAAACTTTTTTTATAAAAGATTTTATTCGGTAAAGTGGAATTCAAAAAACGTCAGATAGAAGCGAACACAATCATATTCATTTATCTAAGATAATTTAATTTTTCACATTTTTTTCAGCTGAAGTTCACATACACACGTATTAGGTATTTATCTTTAACATTGTTTTCTGTAAAAATGATTTTCTATTTGGACAAAAAAATCTATTTCTTTTCTTCAAATTCTCGAAGGAAATAAACTATTCTAGAGACTTTGCAACTATTTTAATTTAAACAAATTTTATTTCCAACTTTAATTTCCTCTTAGGTCTATCGGGATTGTGAGAATCCTCCAAAATTGAGTTTCTGATTGAATAATGAAACAGACATTTTCCTTTAAAGTGTGAGGCAAAGTAAACCAAAGTTCTCTCTCACACGGGTAAATATTTACCTAATCTTAGAAAAAAAAATACTTTACCACATAATGACCAGAATGATGACAAAATGCAACATTTGTTTGAGAAGCCTCGGCACCAGCAGCGGCCTATCTGATTATTCTTTTAAAAAATTTACACCACTATTAAATTTCTCTCCACCCAAACCCTAAGAAATTTCATTTTTTATCGTGCACTCACGTATCTTTATTAGGATCATAAAAATTCAAACGGGGAATTTCTCTGACTTAATTGTACAAACTCGAACTTCAAATCTGCGAGAGATTGTATCACAGCACATCAGCACTAATGCTTGTTTACTGTTGAAATACTTAACAATTAAACTTTTAGACTTATCAGTAATGTTTCTTCCCTCGTATCTTTGTATTTCTGTTTAATAGTTTAATGCAATATGTGCCATAAACAAAACAATCACAAAACGTTGATGACAGTCGTGCAATCAAACTGAAATGCCATTAGTATTCACCCTTCAGCGTAATAATTGTTATTATCATTTTATTGCATTACCTTTAATGTAGCCATATCTTGATCATTTCGTCTATCATCAGACCCGTAACTGTAACAATAAAACCTAGCCATTAAGGTTAGTTGTTAAAACAACTCAGTTAGCAAGTGGAATTAGATTTAAGTCAAAATGTATTTAACAACATAAGTGTATAATTTACGAGAACTCAGAAGTTTAACGAAAAATATTATCAATAACACTTCAGACTTCTTGCTTTTATTTGAGGTAAAAATACGACTATAGCAAACAAGCGAAAGTTGATAATGGCTTAAAAATTCTTCAAACACAAAATTATAACAGGAAATTTGGAGTTTCCTTGAACTTTTTTAACAAATTATTTAACAGCTGACATGAATGTAAGTACTAACACGAAAAAATGGATATAACCTTTTATACGGCTCATCCCCTTGACTGAATAAGCCTCAATATATGTCGGAACTTCATGTAACCGACTTTGAAGTCACTCCGTAAATTAATTAAGTATATGATCAATTACAATCTCTCTAACATTTGAGCGTGATGTAAAATGCATTCCTATTTGATAGTGAAAGAAAGATCATCAAGATGAAAAATGAAGAACGCAAAAATTGCAATAACCAACACAAAACAATTTTGTATTAATCCACTTATGTCCTTATTGTGTGCCATAATTGTATTCAAGAATTAAATTATTTGACAATTCGTTCCAGCAATACAGTGATCTTTTTAGACCATATGTTTTTTTGGGGTGCGAATTTGGAACCAATATTAAATTTTTAATAGTTAGAGGGTTTTTGATTTATTATTATTACAATATTAAAAATATTAAAAAGTATTAAAATAGTTATTTGTAACTATTTTTGAAAGTCATACTGTTTTTCACGAATTTGCAAATGAGTTTAAGAAGGACTTTCAAAACGAGTTGTACACAACATTTTTTTGCAAAGACCAAAAAGATATCAATTTGATAAATCAAATCGTAATGTATCGCGAGCTCTTTGTAACGAACTCTATAGAAACTATAACTATAACTATAACAATAGAAATATAACTATAGGAATCGTTTAAAAAAGTATAACTTTTTATACGATTAATCGTGATGAAAAATCAACTTTCATAATCAGTATGCAAAAATGATTTTTCTGGACTGTTTTTGAGTTTCTACACATTTAGTAACTCAAAAAACTTAAAGTATGCCTACTTTCTTTCGTCATCTAAAATAAAAAAGCAGTGTTATTTAACACAAATTTAATCGCAAATATACATTAAATCCAGTAATTTAACTTTTTTCGAGAAAAATTTCTTTTAATATACCTAGCTATTTAACAAAACCGTCAACTTCCATTTCCTCTAATTATTACTTTTAATAAAATTCACTTCAAAACTTATGTTGCTAACCTAAATAAAATTCTTAATTATTTTTTAAGAAATTGGAAAAAAGCACCAACCTTTGAACATTATTTTTATTCTGGAACAAAATGAAAATTTGCACCCCCTAAAATTTCCGATTTTGTCAAAGTTTTGAAAAAATGCTGAAACAGGTCAATTTTAACTTAAAGAAAGACCAAATTTCGTTAAAGTTATTTCTGCATTGATTTAACACCCAAAACCACCCCTTAATTTAAAAAAATTAAATAGCACTTAACCCGACACATCATTTTGAACTTGCTTTTAGTGTCTAATCGTCTATGCAACCATGTTTTTTTTTCAATTTTTAATTTTAGAAGTATTGTGAAGGAAAGTATCCTAAAAATAATGTGTTACTTACTTGTAATTACTATTTATTTATTTTTTTGTTAAAATTGACTTATTTTAGCATTTTTTCCAAACTTGGACGCAAATTTTAGTTGAGACATGCTGCATAGTTACTGAAAATAAAAACTTACTTCTCACAGGTGCTAAATGTTAAATATTTCAGTTAAAATTATCAAGTTTTTTTCTAATTCCCTGTTTTGACAAAACAAAAAGAAAATTTGAAACTTTACTTCAACTTGTTATGCTTTTGTTAAAATATGCAAGAGTTATCAACTTAAAAAGGGGATTTGATATTCTCGTTTACACAGCTGCTATAGTAAAGTTGTTAAGGCATAAAACGACCTCTCCCTACATTATTTGCGGTCAGTTATATTGCCGATAATAAATTATGCAAGGAGTTGGTAATAAATCTTCTAGCAAATTTATAGGAAGCGAGCGTCTAAAGTTTGTGTGCATTAAATCCAAAATGCATTAAAAACAATTAAGTTTTGCAGTGAAGCATGAGCGCTCACGTACAAAAAGTTTCATATAACAATAAATAAATATTTAACAAAATTTAAAAGTTTTAATAATAATAATAATAAGCAATTTGGTAGAAATATTATCCTGTTGGTGCACCAATGACAATTACGCAAATAAATTACCGTTTTCATTTTTATTTTTAACTTCTTTATTAGGTCAGGTGTCGATTATTAACAAAGCAGAAAATGACAAAAATTTTAAATAAAAACAGACACTGATTGTATTGATTACTTGTACTGCTGGAATTAAAATTGTTATTATTTCATCATATAGACTTTTTGCATTTTAATTGAAACATGTATTTGTAGTATTTAAAATCTCGTGATGTACTGTGACACAATTAAGCCGAATTATGGATCTAAGCTCTTGTACGAACTGGTTTTGTGCCAAACGGAACGAGAAAGTTCCAATTACATCAACCGATTGTCATTCAGTCGTAACATCAGGACCTGGACCAAGCCCTGGAAGTTCAAATTCTTGTGACGACGTGATCCCTCCACAAAAAAACTGTTTCAGATTAGTAGTCTTGGGTATAATAATAAATCCTCGTTGAAAAAATCTCACCAAGTTGGATTCTAGGATCAGCTAGAGTAGGCAAAACTTGTTTAGTTTCAAGATTCCTGGGTGGCAAATTTCAAGAAAGCTATACCCCAACCATCGAAGATTTCCACAGAAAATTATATAGAATTAGAGGGGAAATTTATCAACTTGATATTTTGGACACTTCCGGCAACCACCCGTTTCCTGCCATGAGAAGGTTATCGTTTCTAACAGGTAAATTAATTTTGCTGGGGATATGCTGTCATATGTCGTTACATAAAAAGGCCTTTCAAATAGATTTTGTATAGCTTGTACGCATTAAAGGACTTTATTTCATGTGGCGTCAATTTGTGAAAATGGCAAAGCGCCCTTTCGATCTTTTATGTAATTAATTAGGTGTAACACGAGTACCGTTAACGTCTACTTTTCTCTATTCCTATAATCCCCATCTTTCTGAAGAGTGCACATTGACTTGCTTTCAGGAGATTTATTTATTATCGTGTTCAGTATGGACAGCCGTGAAACGTTTGAAGAAGCAATAAGATTACGAGAGCAGATATTAGAAACGAAAATTAATGCAGGGGCGGCTTCAAACAGCGGTGGTTTAACGAGGAAGAAAACTTTACCGCGAGTTCCAATGATCCTGGCAGGAAATAAAAGCGATAAGGAAATGAAGTAAGTAATTGGTTTTTTCAATTTAAAAAATACCTCCTATGGCATATCCATGTTCAATACAGCGACTGATTAAATTTCAACTTCAGCAACTATTGAATTTTGAGATGGACTATCTCAAACTGTCAAACATGTGTGCAACCACCTTTCACACAAATTGACTTGAAATTAATTAAGAAAGTTTGTTCAGAATTATCAATTAATTGTGTTTGATGGATTTTTTCACGTTTATTGGAATGACTGAACAGAACATAAAAACAACAGCAAACGTTTTTAATTGTACTAATGTATTATTTCAACTCTGTGGTTACGAGATGTGCTCTTTTTCATTTTGAATGAACGTTTTGACACATAACGACAACTTATCGAGAACGAGTCATATGTTCGTAACATGAGATGTTGTAAATTTTGTTAATTTAACTAAGTACAGTGCTTCCATTTTTGAAATATTCAACATTACCTGTCATTTAGAACCAAACGAACTTAATACCGGGTGATTTTTGTCGTCAGGTTTATACAAACTCGAAATCAATCAATTGACACTTTTACATGTATTTTTGCATCCTCATAAAGATTATCTAAGTACTAATAATAATTTGTTGACGCGAATTTTATTAAGTACTCTATTGACAGTTCATTAAAAAAATATAAATATTGCACCACTGGGGTCTTAACTAGTTTAAAGATATAACCCTAGTTATAAAATATAACAAATTTGAAAAATCAAATGTGGCCCAACATATTTTTGAAAAAGACTATAGAATCAATGAAACTAATGTAAAAATTATTAGAGTAGACAATAATTGTAAATTTCTTGGCGCTTTTGAGAGTCTTGAAATATTTAAAAATAGAGATAAGCTTATAAATTTAGACAACGGCCCCTTTTCTCCCCTCTACTCATTAGTTGGGGGTAGGGAAAGTGAAACTCGGAAAAATTAGTATATAATTTATTGTTAAATTAGTTAGTTTTTATTCTCACCTGAGGATGACCACTTTGTGGTTGAAACGCGTTGTGTTTAAAATAAAAGTTTGGTGTGACGGGTTTAATCGTATTTTTGTTCATTTTAAACTTTATTTGTAATAATCACAAATATATCCATGTGGATGATCAGCCCCTGAACAGCTTGCATGAATCCACTTTCCACAAGAACACTTATTATACCATAGCTCGTTTTTTCCAAATTCTTTGCAAAAAAAGCATATGCAATTGCCCAGATTGTGTTGAAGTTTTAAAAACACTGGCATAACTTCAAAGACGGATATTTATCAAAAATGGTTAATAATGTTGTAATTAACAAGTGTAGATGCAGTACTCCCATTTTTTTAATTAAGAAAAAAATTTAAATGGCTTTACAAACCTTTGTAGAAATATTAAGTGAAGTAATAACACCAGTACGCAAAACACATCAAACAACACTACTCGAATATTTCACTTCTGAATAACATGGCTTATGAACGAGATACTTCCCTTATTATAAAGTTAGATGGCGGTCCATGAACAAATTTGAATAATACTCAAATAAGATGAGCGCAATTACCCGTCGCTTCCCTATACTTAGTTGTTCGTAATGCATTAATTATTATTTTATTTTGTTTTAAGTTAGATAAAAAAAATACAACAAGCATTATTCACATGCATACTAGACGTTCTACTTCGTTGTCTTTACGGTCAATTTTAAATAATGTTATTGACATATGAGTTGTAAAAAGTACTTTTTTACGGATTTTTGGTTATCTATACACTATACTTTATGAATTATATCGTAAACTTATACTAACAATTTAGGAAAAATAAAAAGGAAAAATAATTTTGTGTCGAGTTTTTATTGTCACTGTTTATTTATTTTATTTATCACTTATTGCAATTCTTGCATTTCGACTAAGTAAACATTAATGCTTGACCTAACCGATTATAGCTATTCACAAAATTTTAGATAAATATCACTGTTAGAATTTCCAATACTTCTAATGTGGGGGTTAGCCGGAACAGCCTATATACGCATATACCACCATGTCGTATACCTGACAGTACCTCCGTATACGGTAATGATTTTTCAATATAATCTGACAAATTTTTTTATTTAAAAATTATTATTTTTTTTTATAATAGCGTTTCATCCATGTTTGTTACGTCTTTATTTAGAGTGGAGTAAAAGCTTGAAGTACACACTTGGGCGGGGCTTAATTGCGCGCAAACATAAGAGAGGACGCGGACAAAATAATTTCATTGAATCTAATGTGTTACTGTATTATTCACGGGAAAATTGCATATAAATAATAAATTTCACTATCAAAAGTTGCAGTTTAAATGCAACAGCTTTTTAACAGTGTCCTTTATTTTAATCCTATGAATAATCAATATTCAATTTGAAATGCTTAAAATATTAACGATAGTAAGTAAGACTCATCCTGCATATGTTCAAATGATTTTTTAAACAGATTAGAAGTTCTCGGCTTGCAGGAAAATTTTACTAAAAATAAACATTTGTGCCAATCTGAAGCAACTTTTTACCCACAACACAGCATAATACTCGTAAAAGAATACCAACAAGTGATTATTATTATACTTTTATTAATGCTTTACACAGCCATAAAGCCGCCTCAAATGCGAATAATTAATGAGTATTTATGCCGCTGGAAAACTCTGTCTTCGATAACATTTTTATTAGTAAATATTATGGGCATTTATCAAAGGAACATTTAAAAACGACAATGTAAAAAGCAAACTGATGATACACATTTCAGCCTATTAATAAAGTGAATCAATAATTTGAGTATTAATAATTCAAGAATTTCACAACCGAGTGGTATATTTCATGCAATGCAAGCCTCTAGAGAATCTTATCAAGTAATGATAATGAAGAAAATGTAATTAATTATTAAAATGGATTTTTTACATGCTGAAATTTAATTAAGCGAAAAATTAAAAAGTTGCTGCAAAACATTGCCATTTTAAATTCATGACATGAGAGAATTACGTGGGAGTGATTTTTAAAGTTCACTTTTATTCCAAAGCGTATCTAACTGGTGTTTAAATGAGATCTCTTCGAGTAATATTCCGAAACGATCGTTTCATTTATTCGTTACTGCACCTAACGATGGGAAATAAAAGCATGAAAGAAACGGAAATTAGTTTATTTACGTCATTAGTCATTAGTACGTTTCATTTTCACCAATAAATTTCCAACGTTTCAGCATTTTCTTAGTCAATTTTAATAACATACTTTGTAGCGACTTTTTAACGACTGTCACTTCTTGAAACACGTGCTTTAATTATTTTCTCACAATTAAATGTGATCCTCGAAATGGTGCAGCGTGAAATGCTACTGAAAAAGAGATGAATAAAGGGTAGTCTTGTTACTTTAGTGCAATGTTTCATTATTTCAGAACAGTGACTGCAGAGGAAGCTCAATTATACTGTGACACTCAAGATTCAGGCTGTGCCTTTATAGAAACATCAGCCAAGAAAAACCTAAAAGTAGATGAAGTTTTTTACCAATTGTTTGTGGTGGCTAATCTGCCTCAAGAAATGGCACCGAACCATCACAAAAGAATCAGTGCCAATTTTGGGGCCCCGTGTCCTCTGCCCCCTTCTACACCATCCTACCATACAAAGAAATATACGCTTTCGGTAAAACGGAGATTAAGCGATGCGTGTGGTGTCGTTACGCCCAATGTGAGAAGACCGAGTATTAGGACAGATTTAATGATAATGAGGACCAAAACGTGCAATGTGGGCGATAACAATTCGAATCCCAGTAATTCACCTCTCAGTTGGAGAAGGGTTGACAGTAACTGTTCAATGCAATAGACAAACTTCAAGTGCAAATTTTAAAAATTATATACCGATCACACGAAATGCAGCAATAATTCAATTTTATTTCAGTGAACATCAGGTGTCTCGATTGGTGAGTTAAATCCAAAAAAGCACTAAACGGTAACAACCCATTAGTAAGGCCGGATTTCATTAAAAATACGAGTATGTACTTATACAGGATGATTCTTCTCAGCTCCGATATTCTGTAGCTTAGTAGTTATTATTTAAGTGGGAATTTTGATATTGTGTAAACTTTATTTATATTCTAGAGCGCATTTCAGGAAAATATTTTTGATTATATTTAAAAAATTTGAATGGAACACCTCATTTTTTATTTTAGCATCTCATAGACTGATAAATTGTCTATCTAAAAAATAAACTTTTGACGTCTAGAATTGATAAGTTAAAAGATATTTAATTTTAAATCTTAATTGTAGCAACAATGTGATCAGTGGTGGAACGACTATAATTGCCTTGGTATGAACAATACTCCTTTTAATGATAGGTATTGTTGCTACAATTAGCAATTAAAATTAAATATCTTTTAATTTCTCAATTCTAGACATCAAAAGTTTATTTTTTTAGTTAGACAATTTATGAGTCTATGAGATGCAAAAATTAAAAATAGGATGTTTCGTTTAAATTTTTTATATTATTTAACTTTTAAGAAACTTTGACATTCTTGTAACTTTTCGACTGCAATACATTGGAAAATGTTATAATCGTAAAGTTTATACTTTCTCCTCTTTACAGTGGTAACTTTTTTTCCAGCTGTCTTAACTTTTTGTGTAAAATTTTTTTAAAAAGAGGATGTTTTTGCCAAAAAAAAAACAACTTAATTCAAAAACTATGCAAAATCGACTAATAATTGAAATTAAAAGTTACATACAAAAATGCCAAGAAATATATGATGTTTGATTTAAAAAACATAAGCTTGTATTGTAACTTATTTTTGGGACAGCCTGTATAAACAAAAAATATTTTCCTGAAATGCGCTCTAGAATATAAATAAAGTCTACAAAGTATCATAATTCCCACTTAACTAATAATTGAGCTACAACAGACCGGAGCTGAGATGAATCACCCTGTATACTATGGAATGTAGCATTCCTAATTGTCAAAAGCAGTAAAAAACGTGTACTTACCTAAAGACTGACCACACATAAAAACACTATATTTATTTCGAGACACTTACTGTTAATTGTTATGGGTTCACCCTTATTGTTGATGAAAATTATTTTGGAATTACCACTTATTATTAAGTAATTAATGTAATATGAGTTCTAATTGAGCAAATTAGCAGTCTTCTATCAGCTAGAACCCAGAAAATATATTGTGTAAGTTCTTCCTTTTTCTCTACCTCCTTTGTAACGCTATTTATCTCACAACTGTAATTTGAACTTCAACAATTTCAGACTATATTACTTTATAATAAAGAACGAGATTAGTAAATTCGGAAAATGAGGGACCTAATAATACGAGTAAATAAATGGCACTATTTTCAAAATAAATTACGGATGCTTTAGCTTGAAAGCCTGCCATATGTGTTTTTTTGTTATATACCGGATGCTTCAGAACTCGCGCCTCAGAAAAAAATGCCATGTAAGATAATATATTAGTAACATGAAAAAAATGTTAAAAAAATTCTATCTATAAAAATTTCGAAATTGTGGGAATTTAAATTTTGCACTTTTTAAATAAATAAGCATAAAAAATGTCAAATATCAAAAAATAAATGTCAAAATTCTTTGACAGATAGACTTTTTAAACATTTTTTCCATGTTCCTAGTATCTTATCTGACTTGGAATTTTTCTTTGGGGCGCGAGTTTTGAAACGCCCTGTATTTTTTTTGTAAATGATGTAAACCGCTAGGTATAATTGCCTAATTTACTTCAATATTCTTTTTTATTTTTTAAAAGTATATTTCGTAGCAATAGGTAAATAAAATTTTGTGATAATTAATATGCTTTAAATTTGTATTGACTGGCTTCTAATTATCTATAAAAATTTGTTGTTTTATGTTGAAAGTTTATGTATATATTCGGAATTACATATTAAGAAAAGTCAAAAAAGTCGCGACTTGCAATTTAAACAACAATAAATGTGCTTTTTTGTGAAAAGTATGTATTGTAAATTTTAAATAAAAACGAAATAAAATACTGTTTACTAGGTTTATTAAATTATGACCAATTTTATTATAGACCTTAAAGAGATAGTACGACCTAGATATCTATACTTACGTCATATGTGTACCTACAATTTTGTAATTTATTAAGTTTTAATTAGGTACACAGAGGTAGAAATGCATTCAACAAATTACAAAATAATTTTTATTGAACAAGATTTAAAAAGTACTCATGTAATCGTATATTAGTTCATAATATGTACCTAGTCTATATTTTATATTATTGTTAAAGATAAGACTTATTATTCCCAATTTATTTTTTGTACAAGCTATAATAATATGTATACGTAAATACATATAGCATTATATTTTAGTTACTGGAATATAATTCAAACTTCAAAAAGAACAGTTCACACAACTTACTTTTTTGTAGGAGTATTTACATAAATAAAAGCAATTTAATAAATTACAAGGTAAACATATACCTACTATGTAACTGGTTTTTGTAAAACTAAAAGAAGCATATGGACCCACACTCTGACCAAAATCTTCAGTTTCTATAATATGAAATTGAAACCTTTGAAAAAGTTTACCAGTGTGTCTAATTTTAACTTGGAATTAGAGTCAAATGAAATTCGTGTGTGTCCATATTGTTACATATTAATTAGTACCTATTATCTGAAGCGTCATCTAAAATTACAATGAGCAACATATTTTATTTAAAAATTTGTGTAAAGCTTCAACGTATCACTGCAATGTTCTGTCGTGGCTTTGGTACTCGTACTGGTCGAAATTATCTAAACGTTGTACTTAAATATAATTCTACAGATGACTTTTTAATAAACGATATTTCAAAAATATTAAAAATATAGTGTTTATGTTTATATAAATAACTGTTAATGCTTGTTTAAACTAAAATTGTTGTTAACAATGTAGTTAATAAGTAAAATATGGCTCAGTTTGTGTATTTTTATAAAATAATAAAACTGAATTGTATTTACACAGATGTGTAAATAATAAAAAGATGTTTAATGTACATAACCGTGTAAGTTATATTTCCCACCCCCACCCAAATTCTAAGACAAAATAAAATGAATTCTCAAAACTCTTCAAAAACATCTTGATCAAATAATTTATTTGTCTACTAAAATTTATATAAAACAGTAATAAAGTACGCCTGAAAAGTTAAACACTAAATATCTTTTTCGTAATCCCTTTTAGTTTTGTATCTTATGAAACAAATTACCTCAGGAACACTTTTGAATTTAGTTAAAATGACTCCAATCAACGAATCATCCAAACTACCAAAGGATGAATTTTTATATAAATATAAGTCGTAATGAGTGTTTGTTTACTATACAACAAAATGGTATTGTTATAATTATTATATAAATTTTATAACCAAAATTTCAATAAAATACATGCTTCAATTTGAATTTTTAATACGAGAATCTTGCGCATGGTTTTAGGCCCATCGCAACCTGTCGGTAAAGCAGAAACATTTGTTTACAATCAGAAACCCGTCAGATTACTGCCTTTGCTTTTTGCAAAAAGGTTTTTAACAATATTGGTTTTCTTTATTGTATATTGTATATCTTTATTGTATACGTTGCAACCAATATTTATATTGTGCACCGATATATTCGAGGATCCGGGGTGTTGTCAGAAGTTCTACATCAAAATGAAGTATGTATTCACTTTCTAATTAGGACAACAAAAGTAAGCATTTCTATCGTACAATTTTAGTGGACCGCGAATGGGAACGTCTCAAATGAATGGAAACAACAGGAGGCCAACAGATTTTAACCGAATGCCCGCAAGTGATAAACCAGTTGGTAGCCAACATGACGATTTGATACGATACATTTTTGATTCCTGGACTAAGGTTTCTCAAGAAGTTGACAGAAATACAGGGACTTCTGTTATCTTTTATCAAGAACAAGAAAATCAGAACCTTAAAGATTTTGAACCCTTTGATTTAGCAGGGTTCTGGGGTAGAAGAATGGTTCAGAATTACCAACATCAGTCTCACAACTCATAGCATTTTGTTTGAGGAACGCTATCATTTATGTTACATTTATAATAATTAAGAATTTTTGCTCATTTGATCCACTAATATCTGCATGTATAGTTTATCAATATTTTGAGCTTAACTTTTAAAAAAGAAAGAGTTTCATTTTGATGTTGTGAAATGTGTTAAAATTAAAACAAAGCTTTTTTACCAAGAGACTTGTCTATAAACAGTCCAAATTTTTCACAATGACAAAGTGAGGACTAACTTGAGACGCTTAATTTTAAGATTTTTTTATATACAAATACACAAGCCATATTTCATAAATTGGATTACAATAATAGGTAATTACTCTTTTTACAAAAAATTATCAGCTTGTAAAGAGTGGATCAAGTCATATTTATATGTTTTATACTATTTATTATTTATATTTTGTGCAGTATTTTATTATTTTACATTCCCCTTACAAAATATGTAATTCGCGACAGCTTAGTGAAATGATTACAGAAGAAATAATGCTTAAAATCATTGTGTACCATTAAAATAAAATGTTTTTATTTAGTAGTGTTTATTGATACTTTCCCTGTAGGTACTTCAAGATTCTTTTATAAGATTTAGATTACTTTTAGAGTTTACTTGTATTGAATGTTTTATTTAATATTAATTAATTTTCGTCAGGAAACTTTGCTTTTAATAAAGTAAATAATAACTACAAGAACGAAATTTGATGAACACATATTTCTTTTTCTTTCTGAAAATTGACTTTAACAACAATTAATATGTGTAAGGGGCTCAAATACATAATTAATATCTAGAGGCTTTTTTTGTTTACCTAATTAAACAATTTTTACTGTGAGGTTCATTAAAAAAATCCAGATTAATGGAAATTTCTGATGCAAAAATATAAGACAGCTTTTTCGCAGTTGTTTATTGTTTCGGATTTTATGGCTCTTGATATGATTGAGGAGAGGATCTTAGACTTAGATTGGAAATGACATGCTTTCAGAGTTTAAATAAATCGTCAAAATTTTGAATTTGTTTTCAGTTACAGGTTGCTGTAATTTTAATAAAAAAATTGTAAACAAAAAAATGTTTGCAACACAACTTTACAGATACCTGTAAAAAACAGGAAACATGATTGTACAATTGGGGACAAATTACTTCGGTCATCAAAGTTACTTGAATGACATAAAGTTGTAAAGCAAACATTAGAATTGTTTAGAAAAACCCAATTTGTTATAAAATATTATTAACAAAAAACGAGTTTCTTTTGTTCCACTACTGAAACAAAGGTATCGCAATTTACATGCTCAATTCAAATTGAAGAAAACTGCACTCATCGAAATCCTACTTATCATTTCAGTTATGTCATTTCATTGACAGCTGTCACATCTTTGAAAACTAGGTGTGCTAAGAGTAAAACTAGCTGTGCTAAGAGTACGAATTTATTTACTTACAGTTTTTACCTCGAGGTTTGGTGTTTGAGAATCAGTTACCTCTATAATATTATTTATTAAATTTATTTGACAATTCAAATTTTTACCTGCCCTCTTCCGGACACTAGTCAAAGCTTTTTCCGGGACTTTTTGTGGACCCGAAATTTTCAAAAAACTGCTTACACTTTTTTCATTTTATCTCGTTAAACTCTAGTTTGATTCTTTTTCTTAAAGACGCATTTGATGGGTTTTCCAAAAACTACCTTAAATCGCTATATTTCCCCCTCTTTCATCAACGCGAGCCTATCAGACCCCTCTTGTAAAATACTCGCAATTACGCACTATCAGCTGTGTTATAAACCAGAGAGGACTTTGGAATGTTTTTTGTTGTTATCAACGTAAACTCCTCTCAGATAAATTATAATAAGTGTGGTGTTCTAGGTGTGACATCCTACGTTTAAGATGTCTTCAAGGGAAATGATCCTCACCCTAAAGGACGGAGTGCGAGTGATTCGTATCAACAGACCCAAAACAAAAAATGCATTTGATTCAAACGTTTACACAACAATCACCAACACATTAACCGAAGACGCCCAAAACGACAATGTGGTGGTGACTATCATCACCGGTACAGGCGAATATTACAGCAGCGGTTTTGATATTAAAAGTGCCATGAGCAAATTCGGAAGCGGCGAAGAAAAAGGAGTAGACGAGCTAAAAGCCATGATAAATGCGTTCATAATTTATCCCAAACTCTTAATCGCACTAATCAATGGACCTGCTATTGGCATTGCCGTTACCACTGCTGCCCTGTGCGACATTGTGTACGCCTCTGAAAGGGCAACTTTTGAGACACCGTTCCTCAGAATTGGACTGTGTGCTGAGGGATGTTCTAGCTACAATTTTCCGAATATTCTGGGAAGAAGTAAAGCCTCGGAAATGCTGTTTCTGGGGAAAAAGATGAAAGCACATGAAGCTTATCAGTTTGGGTTTGTTGCTGAAGTTATTCCTCATGAAAAACTTGACGAGTTTAGAAATAAACTGTTGAAGCTGGGCAAAGAATTATCAGTAAATGGTGTTAAAATCACCAAAAAGTTGATTCTTAATAATTACAAGAATGTGTTGTGTGAATGTAACGAAAGAGAGTTGAATCAGTTGGTTGAATGTTTTGTTTCAGAGGAGTTTTCCGAGGGTATTATGAAATTTATGTCTAGGAAAAGTAAACTCTGAGCATTTTGTAGTTTTTACACGTAACTTGTTAATAAAATTGTTGGAATAAGAACTATATTTATGTAACATGGTAAACAAAAAATTTAAAATAATAATTTACTAACAAAATATCTAAGCTTAAAATAACAACAAACCTTAAATCAAACCCTCACATTTTACATTATATTTATTTCATATTACACCAAAATATTCTCATAAAATCTTACAAATACCAAGGATACTTTAAAACTTCATATCACCAGATTCGTTACTCATTTTAAGTGAAAACAAAATCAAACTCTACGTTGACAGCCCAAGGTGGTTGAAACATTTCAGCTGGTAGATTAGTGCAATGTGTAGCTTTGAAATCTTTCATGTATTTCCTTGCCTGTAAATGGCATCATAAAAACTTGCTTTCTACATTTCTCCACTCACCAAAAACAGCGCCATCTGATTCTTGTCGTGATCCTGGAAGTCTTCTCCAATTTTCATTGGAAAAGACTTGGAGTACTCGGAAATGTAAGTTTGCAAAAGTGAGTTGCATACATTTTCGTTCACGTTGTATTTTTTCAAAAACAAGTCTACAAAAAGTAGTTAACATCGGCGTTTAACATTTTATAGAAATATACCTTGAGAAGCGGACGTCACGGATAGATAATGTTTCAATAAATCGATTTGTCTGTCTTCAAAAATATAGGGATACCTTGCACGTAGTAATTTTATTAACAAGTCATTTCCGCGATTTGAAGACAACTCGTTTTCTCTAAGACAGATAACTTCATCTTCCGTCCGCCTGATGATAAGAATTGGCCCTGGATATTTCGCGAGATGTTCAAAGACGTTCAAATTTATGTATTCTCTAATAGCTAGCTTGACGATGGACTCCCACCAAGATGGCATGTGATTTAGGGCCAATGGAAGAAGATCATCGAAAGTAGCATCAACAATCTAGACAATGTAATATATCAAAGTCTGTACAAATCAAGATATACATCCTCAAATTACCACTCCTTTAACATCAGGGTAATTCATGGCCGCCCACGATGTTGCATATCCCCCAATGCTCCACCCAAACAGTATAATATTTTCAGGCTTAAAACCTAGTTTATAAATGGCAAACTGTAGTACAGCATCGACTGCATTTTGTTCTTGTGTCGGGAATGGCTTGCCCTACAGATTTTTACTTGAAATATCGATTTATAATGTTAGGAGTTGCTTACAGTACTACCCCCAAAACCTGGATGATTCCATCCAAGTGTTGAGTAGCCTGCTTCTATGGCTGTTATCATAATTCCAATTTCGTAAAAACCTGCATTTCCTTCGGAACAAATAACCAAAGTATTGCCATTTTGGGTACTCTTGCGTCTGTCTATGAACATAGTATCGATGTCGTTGTTGTCACAAGTGCGCAGTTTGTATCGTTCTCCTTGGTTGTGTTCAATCAGCCTAGATCTGCCTTGGAGAAGACTCTGTTCTAGTATCATTTGGATAATTCCAATGGTACCTGGGTATATTAATCTAATACCAAAAGTGTGGATTGCTACATAGGCAATAATTCGAAACGGTATTTGCGTGACATATTGCAGTACATTTTGGTGAAGAACTGGTTTATTAATAAATGTCTTTGTATTCTCCCTAAAATACTTCCGATTTATATTTTTTACAAAACTGTATAACTTACTTTTTTAAAGTACGCATATCAAATTCTACAGGCCAGCTGTGGAAATCAAAATCGTACAAAGAGAGCTGCTGCTTTGATTCAGGGGTCAGTTCTTTTCTTGCTGCTTCCAGTGTTGATAAAAAGTTTAAGTAAGTTGGGTTACTAAACCTACCCAAACCTTTGCAACAGTACGATACTATGAGAATAACACTTATACTAGTAACTAATTTCGTAAATGGTCCCAATTCCTCAACGGTGAAATAACCTCGTTGGTAAAGAATCCCCACTAAAAACGGGGAGGTATATACTCCAATTTTCCAAATAACGTATAACTAGAAATATAATATTCAGTCTAAAATATGTAAGATCGGAAAAGCGTACAGAATGTATAACTTGATCGCCCCATTTTTCGAAACTGTGAGGTTGGTAGAATTTCTACAAATTCAGCTTTTGAACAAAAAAATTTTATGGAAAATAAAGTCTTACCTCGACAGGTCCTTCGTTTCCGTATATTTTAATTAATCTTGGTCCAAACATGCAATTCCAAACTGTTTTTAGTGTTGACATTTTGCGATAATTTTTAGGTTAAATATTGTGGTGAAAGTTGCAAGAGAGTGTTAATTTTCTATTTAAAAATGAATATATTGAGTTCTAATACTAATGTACGTTTAGATACAGATTCAACTCTATCAGAAGTATTTACACTTCATTTTACACCGCAAAAAATTGTTTTGTAAAATGTAACGTATGACGTCACAATATACAACTGACAGCTGCATAAAAACAGGGGCGACTCGTTAAGATTTGCCTGAGAAGGAGTATTTTTTAAAATCCCTTCTCCATGATGGGATTTTTTGCTCAATTAATAACTTATTTATATTTGTATATAATTATGGCAAAAGCTAAAAAAATTTTTTGTAGAATATCTCGTTTCCACTTTATTTTTCGTTTTTTTTTCTTCCAAATTATCCTTATTTTTTCTGTTAGTGCAGAAAAACATAAACAGAATACATAATAATAAGGCAATATTTTAAAATATACCATTAAGTACTAATCTTTAAAAAAAATGCGCAAATTAAAAAAATGGTTAAAAGATTTGCTCGCAATCCGCAAACACTCTGTATTTCGAAAAGTCAAAATCTTAGATTTTTGCAAGCATGGAGTAGAACATATTATTGGTTTACTATTTTTTACTGACTTCATTGATTGTTTTTGTAAAAACCCACTTTATTTTCTGTAAATAAGCTATACGTAAATATAGGAGACGAAAAGTTTAAAAAATAAATTTCAAAACATGTATCAAATATTTATTTTCTTTGATATTACATTATATTCATACAATCATATGAAGTGTTCGTACTTACATAAGACCATAAAGATAACTAACTTAATGGCATTGATATAAAATAATAGAACATTACTGTATACTAAGAGTTAATATTTTCTTACTTTGTGTTAACAATGTAAACGCCATACAATAATAATAATAATAAGGCCCACACAATTTAATATTTATTTACTAATTAATAATTTTCTTGCAGCGAATGCAAAAATACTGTATTTCGCTTAATCAACGCGTATAACATATGAGACTTTATTTAAGCATTTTATCATGTCTTTGAGCAGGTGTATCTTTTGTTAAAAGCAATTTCCTGTAGACAAGTTTGTTGCAACATTTTGCATGTCTTACTATTTTCAAATAAGATTTTTAAATTTATTGTAATTTACGTAAAGCTTGGGTGGCTCGAGATGGACCATTTTCGACCTGTTCCTGGCCAGAGGGTTCAAGTGAGTTCACATTATCTTGAAAGTGGGCTTCGTCAGAAAAATTTGGCAAGTTTTGATAAACTGTACTCGATGGATTTATCACCGTCATTGTTTTAGTTGGTAAAAATGTTTCAGTTTGTGACAACAAAACGGTTGACGTTGCTAAAATCTCTTCAATAGAAAATGTTGATCTTTCCTCTGGGCATCTGTCCAGATCTAATGGCAATTTTAAAGGTCTGCATCCTTTTACAGCATATGTAACCACGACCGACGGGTCCTCAACGGTGGTAATGTGGAGGTCTGTTCTTGTCACTGTTACAGTTGGTGCATAGAGGCCAAAATACTCTCCCCATCCTAAGGCTGTTGTTTTCAATTCTGGTTCACTAATGTTACTTATAACACGATTGCTCGAAGGATAATTGAACCTAGAAACAAAACTGAATAAAAAAATGCCTTTTATGTGAGAGACTTTACGTTATAGATGGCAATTTAGGGAGTCTCAAAAAACGGACACTTCTACAGGGTGGTAGTGTGGGTTCGACTTGCACACACGAGGAAGGCACTAATGAAGTAACAACATTAGATTTAACAACCGTGCTTGTATAAGTATAGCCGAAGAAACGTCCATTTTCACCCACATTTCGAGCATTGCATAAATCACTCAAAAAATAAAACAGGAAAAACAGTAATAACTTGAGCATGTTCATAATTCAATAAACCAGCAAGAGGATATACTATGGTAAAAACAACTACCTTACTAATGGAGGGTTTTTAACAGTGCACCCCTACTTATAAGCTTTGTTTAGGTGAGGTTTGCTTTGTTATCTAAAGAATTTTTGTATCAGCAAGCAACATGTCTGCAGGTAGAGGAAAATACGTCATTTCTAGACTTGTCAACCAAATATCTGGTAGATTATGGTGTCTGCAGGTACAAAACGATAGTAACAAATTGTTGGTACACAAAATATCGGAAACGTGTCTTCTTAGAATTCGAAATGAGTCTAAAATATGATAAAACATTAATCTCTACATTCAAAACTTTTTACGTATTATGATCGACTATTAGCTTTATTCAATTTTTTTTTCCAGTTCACGTACGAAACTTACTAACAAATAAAAAATACACAAGGCAACCTATCGTGCATAGTGAACTAAATCGCTTGTAGAATTTTTAAGTTAAAAAAAGTATATATTTTTTAATAAAGTAAAACTCGAGGTAAAATTTTAATTTTGACAATAATTCTTATCTGCAATAATTAAATGTTTTTGTATAAATTAAATATGTAATAATACCAATCTCTTCCAATGTTTTAAGCACTTTCTGTAAAGTTTTTCACATGTCTTTGTTAGGGTACACATAAAAATGTAATTGATGTACCGTATTGTTTTCTCCAACAAGTAGCTAAGACATTCCAACTTTATGTCGATATAATAAATTTGTTGCTTTGTAGGATTGTAGGCTAGTGATTAAAACAGTAGTAAAACGACACTGGACTTGTTTCTTTTACTACTTAAGTGTTGGAGTAAAAGGATTTTTTATCTATAAAATTTACTACATATAGCAATAAAATGTTACTAGACAGAAAGCTAAATTACATAATTGGGTTGTGACTGATATCTAGTCACTAACAGCTCACTTATGCTTTACATACTTATGTGTCAAATGTTAGGGATGTATACAGAGTGTGGCAGAACTCGCGCCCCAGAGGAAAATTTCAAGTAAGATAATAAGATACCAGGAACATTTTTGACATTTGACATTTTTTATGTCTATTTAATGATACTGATGATCTTGTACATGTTTTTTTTATAATTATTTAGTAAAAGTACAAAAATTTTGACCATAAAAGCCACAAATAACATTAAACAGAGTAACAGTTTAGGATTCAGCTTCCTTTTTCCTCTTTTAATAGCCTGTAGCAAAAAACTTGGAAAATTATTTTCCCAACAGAAATAGATAGAGTGAATATGCTTTAAAATCTAAACTCTCATAACTTCGAAATTTTATAGATAGAATTTTTTAACATTTTTTTTCATGTTGCTGGTTCTTAGATGACATTTTTCTCTGGGGCACGAGTTCTGGCACATCCTGTGCTGTGCATACGTTGTCTGTACTCTTTTAGAATGTCCTATACAAAATGAAAAATTAGGAAAATTATTTTTTTTTAAAGCAATGACAATAAGGAATAAGTACTTACCAAAATTTTCAAAATTCCAAGATTTAAATTTTTCTCACCCTAGCTGTATAAATTTTATTTAAAAATTAACAATGTTACTAATACCATAAAACCATAATCTTATTTATATTTGAAAAACAACTACTGACTTCGTTATCAGAGCTGTTCTTACCACTGCCATTTTTTTAAGTGTTAAGTGTAATTAAAACAAAATTATTGACAACACATATCGTATCGTTTGCCCATCTTTTTAGCGAGGTAATAGGTTTCAATTTTAAATTTAAATCTGTAAAAACTGAAGTTAACAATTGGATTAAATAAATACATTCATTTACAGTTTTTCTTCACATCAAGGATTGGGACTGCATGTTCCTCAAATTATTATGAATAATGTTCAACTAGCAATTTCTAATAGAAATGTAAAAACATGTCGTAAACAAATGGGAAAAAAAAATATCTGAAATCTGGTTTTGGGAAGTATTTATTTATAAAGCATTTCTACTGTCCTTTTAAGCATTTTCCAGTATTTATATGTAATTATTCTATAATTACATGTTTAGTGAAAAAATACAAACGCAATTCATATAATCCTCATTAGCATAAGCAGAACTAAACTGTAACTTTAATTTTCCTTTGTATAAAAACAAAATAGGAGTAATTATTTGAGCATCATGTGCTTATTGTTAAATTACAATAGTTACAACTTTCCACACTTTCCATTATTAGGAAAAAATTCTACTAATAATAACGTACACATGAAGGTACAACAATCTTTAAAATAAGTCATTTTTAGTCTCAAGTGGGTTAATGATGTACTAATAATTATTCATTACATGAAAGAAAATGCGAAATTGCAGGTGTGTATTTTCTCTTTTCCATACTTTTCTTGAAAAAATGATTTTCACACGTCCTTGTTATAATTGTAATAGTAGAAACACTGTGCAAAATCATTTTTATTATTGTTTGACAAGTTTGCAACCTATTTCTCATTCAATTTCCTCCTTGAGACAATTTATATTTCCTTGTTTTATCAATTTAACGAGTTAGATAGTTAGTATGGATAAAAAATGTGCCACAAGAGGCATTCTGATCATCTCGGTGTCGGCAAGTAACAATAATCGTGTCTGTAACATTTTATAATTTGCATCTGGTGGTCTACTTGGAAAAGTTATAAAGAAGTTGCGGTGCTTACTCTCCAATCAGTTACAGCACAAATGTCGAGCGGTCCATTCGATCGCAAAAATGTTACCGACTTTATTGTTGATTGTTACCGCGTTTACTTTAGACACGCGAGCCAATCTGCGCGATGATTGCAACAAATTATTCAATCCGCTTAATTACATGAATCAATTACCGTCTTTATCCCTACCGTACGTTAGCAACATCCCCATCAAACCATCCCCAGTGATCACAACCAAAGTGATAAATGTGGTGACGGAATACGTGTATCGAAACCCCGTGTGTGTGAAAATCAGTGGCAAAAAGTCCGTGTGCAAGTCCAAAAATCCGCAAGCTAATAATATTGAACATTTAGTCACGAAGCAATTATTTGTGAAAGATAGACAGATGAAAGCGTATGGGACCCCGTTTAGTCTGGAGGACGGCTTAGGGATGTATTTGCAAGGGAGTGAAGAACCGAGACCTTTTATGAAGCAAGAAACCACGCCGCAGTTATCACCGGAAGAAGTTAAAGATATGCTGATTGAAGATAGGCTAGATCAGTTGGAGACGATTCTTCCGCACTATACCAGACGGAGGACTTATCAAACCACAACTATTACAGTAACAAAAGTGAAAAGTAATAATAGGGCCACTGCGACACTTCTTGTCAAAAACTGTGTTCCCCAGGGATACGAATTGTGTCCGCCGAAAGTTAAAGCAAAACGGAGAAAATCTAAAATTGCTAAAGTTAGCAATATAACATTTGAACAAAATTATTTTGGTTAAATATTTGATTATTTCAATTGATTTACTTAGGTATTAATTTATTATTCCAACCTACATTTTTGTGTTACATATTTAAAAATACATACATTAATTTTACTGCAACTAAAGAACTGTTAATTAAATTTTTGCGTTGTTCCTGATGATTTTACTTGAATTGTTTAATTGTGAGTAACGTTTACTTTGTTTGTTTTATAATTTTTGTTACAAAATTATTTTGTAATTTTTTGTTCAATTACCTAATCAGCGCAGCTTTATTTTAGTGATTATCTATTTTGATTTAATTCCAAATCAAAAGTAATGAATATAATTGAAAATGTAATTAAATCTTGGTCTAAAAAAAATTACTTTGAATTACAATATTGCATTTGACATTGCCTTTTATTAGAACACTTTGTAAATATTTTTGAAGAAATGACTGCCATCAGTAAATTACGTCTAACAATTTAATAATCTAAGTATACAGGGTGTTTATAGTCTTGGAGTTGAAAATTGACTTAGTAATAGAAGAGTACAGAAATACTGTAACCGAGAAAATAACTCACACAATTGTTATTATCAAGAATGTTATTTAACTCCAAAATATTGGTACACGGTTTGAGGGTCATTGGAATTATTTCCTTGTTAACATAAAATTGTATTGTTGCAACAGATAAAAAATCGTATCCATGACAATGAAAGAGAAAAGTCACTTCATAGATTTGACACTGTCATCTTTTGATTTGTTTTTGCTTTAGTTTTTATCAAAATTCGAAGATCTTCTATTTAATCTTTTTCAGCGAATGGTTTCCAATAGGTTTGATTCGTTTTTCTAAATTTTTCTCCATATTTATGAACATGTATGGTAAAATATTAAAATAATAAATTGGTTGTCGTGATTATGATTTACGGTGAAACACAAGGTAATGATAATAATGGTCATTGTTGCAGCCAAAGCAGCAGTTCTCAAACAAATTGTGTAAAATGAATAATTTCCTCTAACAACGTGAATTTTTGTTTTATATAGCGTATTAGTTTTCTTCTACCGCGAATATCATCTCATTTAAATTTCAACCTCAAGACTGGAAACACCCTGTATAATTAACAGGTTAGAGTTGGATATAAAGTGAATTTTATAATTTTGTACAGATATAGGTACTATGTTCCTTCTAGGTGCCTCTATAATTAATTTTGTTGATTAATTTAATAATTAGATGCAATTATTTATGGTTACCTTTAGTTTTTAAATAAATTTTAGTAACAGCCGTTAAAAATGGAAAAAACTATGCTTTTTTTCAGTTTTTTTATTAAATTGTTGTACAGCTAATATAAAATTTTGTTCTATCTTGCAAAAGTGCAAAAGCTAATTATTTTTACCAGTGTTTGTGCTTAGTAATGCAAATAATTGACAGTTTTATTGTTGTGTTATTGTACTTATTGTAAACGTTACAGTTATAAGTCTGTAATTTTACTCAACATTTTCTGTATGATCAAATAAAAGCCGTTAGATATAGGTTAGTGTTATAGCAAAACTTTCTGTTAAACCACCACATTTGTGCCTATCCTTTATTCTCAATTTTAAATACAAATAATTTAATCGAAGTATTATATTTTAACTGTTTTTTCTAGTGACTTTTTCAAATAATAAATATTTCAATATTTTGCAAAATTAAAAAAAAATAATAGAACCACTTCTGCGTCGTTCTGTAAAAAGAGTTTTATCATCCCCATTTTAATTATACCCCACTCGACAAAAGGATGCCAATTTGGTAAAAGAGCAATAAAAATTTATCACTCCCATAAACAACTCTATTGTTCCGGTAATTTAGCGCTTTTGTCAAATCAGGTAAATAGGTCCATTTTTCAAACCTTTCATGTCTTTATTTCAAGCAACAAGGAAAGAGTTTTTTCCGCAAACTTTACGATTGAACAAAAGTTCAAGGAAAATTGTTGCAAGTTTTAAATTAAAATTCTTAGTTTTGGGAATTAATGTCATTGTTGCTGTGAGAACAAACAAGAGCTAAGCTCGGGTTTGTC